GTGTGTGTGTGTGTGTGTGTGTGTGTGTTTGGGTGTCGTGTTTGAGATTTAAAAAAATTGCAGATGATGTTAAGCAATAAAAAATGTTATAATTTTTTTTTTTTTTTTTTTTAGTAAAATCGAGGAGTCTGTTATCGACCTTCGAAGAAGAGCAGCCGCACCTCCTCGGCCTGGGCGGAGAATATCCCGACCAATGGGAGGACACGTCAGCTGTCGTCATGGCGGCGTGGCGTCGCTCAGAGCAACAAAAACTGGCGGTGGAGCCCGGCAGGGTGGAGACACACCCGCTTTTCAGGAGCAAAAGCAACGACACGCAGACATCGAAAAACCTGCTCATGGATATGCACAGGTAAACAAATATGCACTTTATTAACAAGAGAAGAAGAAGTGGGAGAGATGGACTCACCATGAGACACTCTAAAGACCTTCTCTGTTGATAAGGGACACAGACAGTGTGGGAAACTTTTGATGCACCACAGTTTGACTAAAGTTAAGATATTTAAGAGCCTGGAGGAACAGTCTAGTCGTATCCATAACAACACAGAACTGAACCGACCCCTCTCCATCAAACTCCAAAAACAAACACTGTCCATTGAACACCTTTCATTCACACGATCTGACGCGGTGATGTCTTGGTGTTTCAGGTCTCTGGATCAGCGGGCGAACGAGAGCAGCAGTAAAGTGATAGAGCTGGAGCGAACGGTCAACGAGACCTCCTGAGGTTCATGTAAACAAGCCCCTCCCCCCCCCCACCCTAAACCCTGTGATGACCCCCCTCCTCTCTGGAGCATGGTTCAGTGTCCTGGAGTAAACCTCATACAGTAGTTCCCACTGCTGATCGTTTAAGGTCTTTTCTTTTTCTACATCAGATACACTGTAATAATAATAAATAATAATATTAATAGTATGAACTAAGAGGCACTGGTTTGCCTCATTTCTGAAGTAAAGTTGCACTGAATAGTTTTTACGAGTCAACTTCCCGGTTGTATCTGTCACCCCCTGATTGATGCGGCTTAAAACACTGCAAAAAAAAAAAGATGAAATCATAACACGCTGTAAAAAAATGTAGCGTTGCATTTACTCCAATGGAAAGTAAATTAAAATATAACGTGGGGCTTTTTACAGGACACTGACGAGAACCTTTGAACCTTTTGTATTTATAGAAACCTGTTTTTTTTATTTTGCATAAAAAATATTGCTCTTTTTTTAGTTTGTATTTCTTTAACTGTTGAATCTTTTTATTTCATTCCAGTGATGAGAAAGTGCCTGTTTTGATATTCTTTTATGTTCATAATGTATTTTTTATGTTATCCTACTCTTTTATATATATTGTACATGTGAGGGCTTAGCTTGGTGATCCCGCGCTCGTTTCTGAAAAAAATTCAGAATTTTCATTTGTTTTTGTATCTTCACAAACGAAAACGGATTATTGAATCATGACCATATTTGGGTTGTTTATCCCCAAATTTGTGATTTCCTGTTAATGGATTCTGACTGAAATTATGAATATTTTTGTTTTCCAACTGTAAACTATTGACTTCCCCCCCCCCCCCTACCCGACAAATTTTACACCCTGCTAGCTTTACTTCAGTCATATTTCTTTAGCTCTGTCACTATGACTAAAATATTTCAATCTCAGTGTTTGGCTAAAGTTTTGGTTTATTCTTAAAAGCATTTCATTAAACTGTTTTTTTCATAATACACATAAACGACCTATAATTCACCCAATAATATTAATCTTTTCTTACAGAAGTTTGACTTTTTCTTTTTGTAAAGCTTAAGAGAAATGAGACGAGAGTGTGAAACATCTTAGTCATAGCTATCTGTTGAAGCTACAGGTAGCATCTTGGTCAAACAAGCTATGTGGCTCTTTCTAAAAGTAATATCAACTATCCACATCTCTAAAAGTTCTTAACTTACAAATATTTACTTTTATTTCACAAACTTAAGATATGCTAGGAGACTAATTTTATTACTTTAGATCGAGCCTAGCTTGCTCGTTTCTCGTTTTTTCAATCTGTAATCTTCTCTTCTATTTCCTGTCTAGAAAGCAGGTAACCCCCCCCACCCTCTCCCCTCCCCCCATAGGTCAAACTTTGTCTTTTTAAATTGTTAAAAAAAAAACAACACCCTGCACTGACTTTGAACGTGAAACACTTTTTTGCCTTAAACACATTTGTACTGTTAGCTAAAAGAGTCTTTATCTGCTTTCTCTCAGCATTTGCCAAAAACATTTCTTTTCCCAGAAATGATAAAAAAAAATAAAAGTATCTATTTTTGTAAATATAAGTTGTGAATAAATAAGGAAGTCTAAACGTGTCTGGGGAAACTAATCCATATTTCATAAGGAGGCTATTCTGGGAGCTGTGTTGATGAATTATTAACGCCAGATGTGTTTAATTCATATTTAGTCCTTACTCTCTGGTGGTTGTAATTTGTGAATTAGATATCATGGCTTTAAAGGTGTAACTTGTCCATTTCAAATGCATCACATGTAAGGGGTTTGAATGTCTGTGCTTTATTTAAACGTGTGTTTAACGTGAGGCCAGTTCACTTTTTGTAAAAATTACAAAAAACTCTCTTTCATGCAGTTAAGGTATTTACTGCATGATGGTTTAAAGTAGATTATCAAGCCAAGAGTAATTATAAAATATACTTTATAAGAAAGGATTCATCATGCTGTCGGCAGAAATAGCGCCCAATCATGCTTAGAGACTATACAATGCAATATTTTTGTACTTTGTACAGCTTTGTAGATCAGTGGCTAGCTCATCAAAGATAAACGTGATCAGTCTGTTTGTTGTTCAGTCTTTACTCCGAGGTAGCTGAACATGCATTCCTTTCTGTCTTTACAAAGGAAACACAAGAAATACATTTGTTGTTGTTTTTTTGCTTTTCCTCCTCCAGTTGTGACCAAAATGAGTTGCCAGTGGAGATTATATTTCCGAGTCAGACTTTGTTTATGTGTTGCTTCTTTGTAAAGCCATCCTGACTTTAGGCTTTCTGTCTTTTCTTTTTGCTTTCAAGTAAATAAAGTATTTTCCTTAGTAAAAGCATCATACCTGTGACTGTGTGTGGTCTGTTCATGGTTTCATTATTTGACTTAAAGGCTTTATATGTGATGTTTCAATCCAGCAGATGTCGCCCTTGAGCACCAGCATGAAACCAAAACAACTTGTGCTGCATTGTTGTGTTAGCATGCTAATGCTAGCGATCTTTATTATGCTGGTATCTTCACACTGCATGTAAATTTACCTGAAATGAGCGTGATCTAGAAACACAGTTAAGCAGTGAGTACAGTATGTTATTCTTCTTTTCTCTAGTCCCTCAATTAAACAACTTTTATACACGAGGGGAGGAGTCAGCCGGCCGTCCCGGCGATGTAAACAAAGTGAAGATAGGACTCTGAAAACTCTGAAAACATCACAGACAGTGGGACTCGGGTGTTACACCCATTGTAGACAGTCATGACTCACAGAGTTATTTTCAGATATACTTGATTTATATGACATTTTCTATACATTTGTCTCACCATCCCTCTCCAGCTAAAGCAACAAAGTTCATTAGATTGTTTTTCTTTTTCGCTAAACTAAAGGATTAAGTGTTTGTTACAAACTCCTTTACATAATGAATTTAGCCACTAATACTGTGACACTGTAAACTTCTCCCGAGCTGCTAGCATGCCTGACTTCTTGGTTCCTTTTGAGAGAGAAATCTGTTAATAGTAGAATAAAAAGGAAAATGCAAATAAATGTAATATTCTTAAAGAGTAAATATATACAGAACCTTTCTCAGGAACTTCACATGCCCTAACACAGCTTCAGAGTTTTGTGCACCTTTAAACTAAGTTAAGACCAAATTCTGTTCGAGCAGGAAGGCGCCTCATGGTAAACACGGCGGCCTACAGAGGAGCTTCTATCTCCTCCATCGTGAAAAGGATCCTAAAATAGACCGGCAGCACCACCTCATCATGAGTACTGCAAATCGCTCTAATGGTCCCGAGACAATACGCAGTCCCACTGCTTCACAACAGTCCTGGTTTCTAGGAACACGGCTCATCCATCATTACAGCTATTCATTATCATGTGAATGTCTTATGATAAATTTAATGAGGTATGTTTGACTAAGAATTAGACCTTTACACCTGCTAATATTTTAGTCTGATGTTTATTTCAAGATATTTAAGTAGGCCTACATTATGTACTTCATAATATGCTTTTACCTGATCATTTGTAACTGGAATTGGTGCTTGAATAAAGGTTCTCAATTGTTCTCCCAGCACTGTGTATGTGCTTTGTTTAATGAAATTATTCACGGTTTGTAATCGCAGAGACGAAGGACAGATGCTCTCTTGCAGAAATCAAAGTCCAGGGAGGACGGAGGGTTCAGCTCTGGTCAACTGTGAATACAAACCTGATGTCAGAGAGCAGAGATGGTCATGATGACACATCTGATGTCTGGAACTACAGCACAACACATTCATACTCAGTAAACATAAAGGAGACGTGATGCTCATGGTGGCAGATTTGACACGCAGACAAAGAGGCATGAACACAGCATATGGACCCTGTGTGTGTGTTTGTGTGTGATTAGTGTGAGAGCGTGAGAGCGGGTGCGTGTGTGCGTGCGTGTGCGCTCACCCTCTGCCCTACTTTCTGACTGATGATGCTGCAGAAAGGAGAGGAGGAGGAGAGGGAATATCCCACAATGCACGCTGCTCGTCCCATGGGCCAGATGGATGGACGGTCGGACAGACCCGGATGGATGGATGGATGGATGCAGCTAGTTGTAGTGTTTACTGTCCCCGCCCTCGCAGCAGCTCGCGGTTTCGCAGCTTTTTAAAACATGTGTCAAGTCACAAAGATTCAAATACACGACTTCCGGTCGATTATTTGAAAATAAAAGCCTCTTTGAACGAAACATAATATGTTTTATGGTTTTTAATGGTTGTGAACCTTTATTGGGAGCTGCAAAATATTGGAAAAATATAAATATGATTCATATCTGTAGCTTTAATTAGGAAGCACCATTTAAAGTGCTGTTTTACAGAGTAAATTTCAGTTGTTTTCTCAAGATCTTGACTAATGAACTTGATTGAAAGGAAAACCAGGGATTTAAATATTGAGTTAATGTCATAAACAAGTAAAGATCTCACAGGTTATCACAGGAAAATGGAGTGAAATAAATTGCATCGGTGCATGTCTATAGGCCTAACAGCTTACTGGCTAAAGTTTAAATTGCAACTGGACATAACAATACAAGTTATATAATTGAGCTTGTTTCCTTCTTTGAATATTGCATAATTTAGTCATAATGGGAGTAGCCAAAAAAAGAAATGGATGTTCCTAAAATGAGAATTTTAAGGAAACGTTAAAGCTCCCGTGAGAAACTTTAATTTTGTGTCAATTTTGGGGTTCCTGTAGTCAAAGTTGTACCTCTTATCTCTTCACTGATGTCCTGTCGCATTTTTAAAAACCAAAAATTCCCACCCTGCTTTCTATTTACACTCAAATGTAAAGTGTAAAGGTAAATGCACGGACTTGCTCCTCCTCCTTTGAAGACTGTCTGCCAGTGGGATCGATACCAGGGGCCACAGCCCGAGGAGACTGTGAGGCCCCATACGGACACACAACATTCAGACAAACTGTTCTGTCAGTGAAAGGAACTAAATATTGGAATATTCTCCCACTCACAATCAGAGACATATGCAACCTTCAAAACACACCTCAAACAGTGGCTAAAAGAAAACCTTTAACTTTTAACCTTTAACCTTTAACCTCTATTATTGTCTTGTGTCACATGTGTATTTGTATTTGTATTTTATTTGTAATTTGTCTTTCTCTGTTACCTGCCTTGGGACAACAGATGGAAACTTGCACTTCTGCTATAATCTGACATTTTTACAGCTGTAATTGTTACAGCTGTTCATTATTTCTTTCTTCTTTATTCTTCTTTATTTCTTCTTTATTTCGAACGATTAAAAAATAGATGAAAATGAATGAACAAATGGGAAAAAATAAAAATCTGTATATAAAAAAAAAAGAAGAAGCCAATTTCAGTATAATACACATTTGACTCGTTCAAAAAGGGATAGGAAGAAGCCCAGGCTTGTCAAGTCCTACCCCCATTCTTCATCATTAACAAAATGCAAAATCCAATAAAATAAACTAAACAGACAATACAAAAAAATTATACTCCAATCGAGCTATGAAGAAAAACAAACAAACAAAAAAAACAAAAACAAAAAAAAAGAACAAAATAAACATTAACATGCACTGTCTCTAACAAAAAAAAAAAAAAAAAGTTTCTCTCATATAAAGCGATATGCTTTTATTTTGAAGTTAGATACTCAACTTCCTGTCAGACGTTGTCACCTCGCGCTCAGTTGGTTAGGGGGCTCGTGAGTGCAGTTCGATCTGTTGTCCAGGCGGCTGCGCGTGCTGCCGTACCTGGCGGTCAACGGTGAGACATCCTGAGGGTCAAACCGCCAACAAACGTTAACGGCTCGTCATCCCCCCCCCCCCCCCATCCTTCATAGACCCCCCTCCAGTTCCTCTCCCCGACACCGGTGCCCCCTCCTCACAAGCCGGGTAGGAGAGGGGGGGTCCAGCGCGGGGCGATAACACCGAGAAACCGACCAGCATGGACCCCCAAACCAGGGACCGACCTAGCCCGGCTGCGGGGGGTTTCAGCGGGCGTCTGGCCACCTTGGGAGCCGACGGCGGGGACTCGGAGTCCGGAGCCGGCTCGGAGGAGGCTTCCGTGGGCTGCTGCAGCGACACGTTCACCAGCCTGCCCGACATGGAGCAGGAGACTCTGGAGGAGAAATTAAGGGGACTGGCGTTCAGAAAGCAGACCTCGTATCGGTGAGTAGGGGACCGGGGAGGATGCTGGGCAGGATGTAGACTGCTCCGTGTCAGGGGAGGACATGTCTGTGATGCTCACTGTGTTGTGTGCTCAAAATATTCAGGAGAATTTGTCTGTTTTAGCTTCATGCTGAATTAAATGTAAGGGTTAGTATGAACACAGACACAGGACCAAAACCAGAAGACGAGGAGGGGGGGGGGGGGGGGTTACATTAGATTCTAACATACAGGCTACACATGTTGTGACTTGTCCTGGTTAGCCACATTATGGTAACCATCATACACACACACACACACACACACACACACACACACACACACAGGGCATGTCAGTGAGGGATCAAAACAAAGCTGCAAAAACAACAATGTGTGTTTGCATCTCTTTGTGATTGGTGTGTTGCAGCCCTGTTGTGTTGGAGCATGGGAAGGGGGTTAGAAACAGTATTGATTTGTGTGTGTGTGTGTGTGTGTGTGTGTGTGTGTGTGTGTGTGTGTGTGTGTGTGTGTGTGTGTGTGTGTGTGTTTTTACTTGTATGTGTGGACAAAGTGTGTGTGTGAATGGCAGCAGCAGCTTGACACCCTGGTGTGACTGGCAGCTGCTGTTGATAGTGAAATCTGGCCAGAGACCAAACATGCACACACACACACATACACACACACACACACACACACACACGCACGCACAACATTTTTGTTTTTATTGTCAAATGTCACTTTCAATGTGTGGCTTCTATCTTTCCATCTATCTGTGTCGACCTTAGCGCCAGAAATATTAGACATTTGTGGGTCAAATCAATCATGTTGACCCGTGTCATCGACTTGTTTTTGTCTGTTTGGGTTTTATTTATCTGAAAAGTGACGCAGCAGTTCAAGCTTCTAAAATCCAAGTAAAGCGTTCAAAAAGTCTGCATGGAAGTGAATATTTGCTTTAACCGTTAAATTTCACTCCCGTCAAAAATATCCCACAAATGTGTTTTTTTTTTTCCTTCTCTGAATTTTACAAATAATAAATTAAAAATGAACTCTAATGAACGTCCCAATCAGATTACACGAGCATCATGTGAACCCATAAAACATGAATTATGTGGCCCTTTAGTAAGTTAATTAATCTCACTTTTTAGGGAGGGATGGTACAGTATAATCCCATTAAATTCCATTTGATGGAGGATAATTATTTGTTAGATTATTTTCCATATTTCTGAAGATGCATTAGCGTTTTTGACACCACATGCAGTGAGGGGACTATCCAGGGAAGGCCTGGTTTTTTTCAGCGTCACTGTATCATCATTTACAGAGTCTCTTTCTCTTCTTCTGGTGTTTTCCCAGAGGAGGGGAACTATCTCTTGCTTAAGTGAGGTTTCCGGGATGATTGTTCATCATGGGAAGTGCTGCAGCGTGTTTTCTCTCCAATTTTTCAGGAGTTCTTTGTGAGTCTGATTTGTGAGTTACCCCTGAATGTGTCAGAGGAAACCTCGATGGATTTATGGACTCTGGAGTACATGTGATGCTGATCGATCGTCACTGAAGTCCCCCAGTTAAAAGCTTTTAAGAAATCAAGTCACATGTTCATGTTTAAACAAGATAAAAATGTTGATATTTGACACGGGGGGCGGTGATCACTTGACTTAGTTCTGTCTGTATTGTGGACTTTGTAGATGAGCCAACATCAGCACTTTAAATCTCTGTGAAAACATTTGTTTTTGTCATCAGAAGCATCTTGAAGAAGCAGCGTTTGTCGGGCTGCTCTTAAAGCTGTTGTAACAGCTGTTGGAGGTGTTTGAATGTGAGTCGTAAACTACACCTCGAAATAGGTTATGCGTTTAATGATGTTGCCCGTCTTCAAAGGAATAGTTCAATATTTTGGGAGACGTTTGAGTGTTCACTTTGTTGCAGAGAGTTACATTAAGGAAATTGATACAGCTATCCCAAGACATCCAGTATGAGGAAAAGTCTGTGAACAATTTCAAGCTAGCAGATTGCCATTGGTTTATAACACAGGGGTGTTACTTTGTATTACCAAAATGCAGCGCTGCATTTCATATCTCACCCTGTCTTTCTCGGAAAAGCTCTGGAAATGATGACTACTAGGGATGTCAAACTGTGTACTTTTAAACGCTGATTAATTGCTAAGTTGAAATAGTTTTGGGCCTCTTTTTTTATCACATTTTAACCGCATGTTTGGCATTCCATTATTCTGCATTTCAAAACAGGTTCGTTCTGCTTTTATTCTGCATTTTGTCCCGTCTTGCTTGTTTTGATTTACTTTCTGTCTGGATGAAACTCTGGCTGCAGGAAGACGCTACGGTCACTTGCTGTTTGGATGAAAACCTGCTTTTATTTTGAAAGAACATGAGCAACTTCTGGTAGATCAGATAGAATAATTTAACCAGTGAAGACGATACTCGCTACAGATTGAAAAGTTAATGAAAACAGCTCAAGGAAACGGTAAAAACAAAGTGAAATGTTTGATGTCATAGGTGAATGTGATACTACTGACTCATCAAGTTTTTTTATTGTGAACTGAGCCATTCAAAGGCGCCCCGGGTCGTTTATTTCCATCACTCTGGTTGCGGGAAGAAGCTAAATGCGATTAAAAAATAATGAATGCAAAAAATGTCTGACCTTCATTGCGTCAGGATTAACTTTGTTAACGCCTACAGCCTTAATAAACAAATATTAAGTAAACGTATTGAAATGGGATTGGGTGTAAAGTGTGATGAAATCTGCTCTTTTGATAAAGAAGACCGCATACTAACTGGGCATGACTGGAGGAACATTTCCCGCCCGTGCCACCCTCTGCTCTGTGGCCTTTTCCAGTCATTAACTCGCGGATCATCATGCACTGTAAACAGCTTCGTTGGAAAACCCCCAGTTGGATTAATTTCATTTAGAAAGAGAACATCGCTCTTATAAGTGCAGCCATTGTTTCCTTCCCGCCGACGTATTAAGAGACTTTTGACGTTTACCATTTGAGAGACTAGACTGGATTCTGGACTACAATGGGAGTTGGTTTTGTTTTTGTTTTAAGTATGTAAATAGCATGTTAGCACTGGATTAATGCAATGTTGATATTTCTCCACTTTCCAGTACATAACAATCATATGGACGGTTACATGTCTTTGTGTTTTGTTCCTCTTTGACCTTAATGGATACAGCTGTGGATAATCTGTGAATTTTCCTCTTCACGGACTCAGCCATGTGGAGGAAATGGCATTAGCTGGTCAGAGGAGATGGTTTGTAAGACAGTTAGTTTACATAGCTTTGAAGTAGCCAGTGCCATGAAGTGAATTACCATATGTGGCAATATGAAAGAGCTGAGAAATGATGCCGTCCAACATCAAAGACGTGTGTGTGTGTGTGTGTGTGTGTGTGTGTGTGTGTGTGTGTGTGTGTGTGTGTGTGTGTGAGCGCACTTTTTCTGTGTGGTATTATGTGTTTATGGCAACGTAAGGCACGTGTTACTTAATCAGCCAGACACTCGTCACACTTTGTTATGTGTGTGTGTTCCCAGAATACCGTCCCTCTTTTTATCTATTCTTAGACGTCTCACCCATCTGCCTGCATGACAGCAGCCCTTCCTCAGTCAGAAACACAGTCGCGTTGTGCGTCTGTGTGTTTTGTCTTTCATGCCAACCAGTTAGTCAGCACGCTAGTTAATCTGTAAGACATCCCTCCAATTAGCCAGTCAGTAGAGCGGCCGGACACTCAATCTGCGAGTGAGTCACTACCAAGTTGTTTTTTCGGGAGCCCTTCCTGCTGATCAGTGACACTCGGTCGGTCAGCAGCTCATTTGTGCAGCTATCCAGCTGTGAACATAGATTGTAATCTTCAGCTCAGGAGCTCATAAGAAAAGATGAACCTGGACAGTAGTGCATCTTCACAAACAGTCTAACAATCCATCATCACTAAACACTCTTTCTGAAGTCCTAATGTACCTAAAGACAACACTGAGGCGTCCACAGGATAGAAAAACCTGACTGCAATATCCTCTTGAGAGTGTCACTACTGACCCGTCGTTGTGCAAAGATAAACATATGAAATATTTAATGTTATTCAGGTCTGGAAACAATGTTGAGAGATGATACACGGTGAGGTTTCCGCTGAAGTGGTGTGTACTGTAGCTTTACTGTTTGAATGGGGCAGTTAATGGCAGTGCTACCGCTAATGGACTCTTATCCTTAGTGAGTATTCTCTAATGGTTTTATTGTTTTGAGAGAGAAAAGAAGAGCAGAGTGTGAAGGCTTCAGATATTTAGAGTTGAATAAAATATACTTTATTGTCTACTTTATATGAAATCAAACAGCCCCGATATCTCATACTTAAGCAGCTGTGATCAGAGAATGTGTACAATTGTTGGGAAGCGAGCTGACTGAAGAAAGAAGCACAATAACTAAAGCTAATCAAGTTTTACTCACCTCCAGCTCTCACTTAACATGTACAGCCAAGGTTCACAACATCTCCATGTGTTTAGCCATAGTTTAACTTTTTCTTTTCAGTTAAAAGTTGTCCAAAAAGGAACTCAAATTCTGCTCGTCGTCCGCCTTGTTTGTTAACTCAGAAATCACATTTTGCCATGAGGAACTTTTTGAGAGTTCCAGTTTTAAGAGTCAGGACTCTGGTTGTTGGTGAAGCAGTGGTGTGCTGTTGTGGACATATCGATGCTCCCACCAACAGACTATGGGAACAAAACTGTTGTAAAAATGTGTGCACATCCAGGCAAAGCACGCTTTTCAGCTCCCACTGAGCAACTTTATTAAGGGCAACGTTTCTAACCAAAGGATGTTCTTCAGGAACAAAACTGATGTAACCAAACCATAACCATGTAAATATTAACAATCAAATCAGTGGTTATCTGTCGTCATCTGTGGGGTCTCTCACATTTTCAAATTTGACTATTATAAATGGAGTTATTGCCAAGCTCTGATATCATTTAAAAAAAAACAGGATTCAGAAAAGCCATGGCCAATAAATCAGTTTTGTGTTTTAATGTAAGAACAAAA